CCCGACGACTACGAGGTGCTGCTCACCATCGGCGCCGGCTCCTACGGGAAGTGCCGCAAGGTGCGCCGCAAGGCCGACGGCAAGGTGAGGAGAAGGAGGCGACGGCGGGGGTAGCGCAGCTTTGCTGCTGCCGTGCGTCCCTGCCCGCTGGTGGCGGCTCTCCGCGACACGCGAGGGAGCGGCTGTGGCAGCCCTTCTTCCCCCTGCGCGGCCCCGGCCGCTGTCCCAGTCACTCCCCGGGATGTTTCTGCCTCCGCAGATCTTGGTATGGAAGGAGCTGGACTATGGCGCGATGACGGAGTCGGAGAAGCAGATGCTCGTGTCGGAGGTGAACTTGCTGAGGGAGCTGCGGCACCCGAACATCGTGCGCTACTACGATCGCATCATTGACAGGAGCAGCACCACCCTGTACATCGTCATGGAGTACTGCGATGGGGGAGACCTGGCCGGCTTGATCGCCAAGTGCGCGAAAGAAAGGCATGTGAAATGTGCTTGTGGCGCATTCCAAACGTCTTGTACTGTCCAGAGGGAAGGGAAAATTACTTTGTAACTTCTGAGCAGTTTGCGGTTTAACTCTTTGGACCCAACAACCCTTAATAACTGTGAAAGGTTTTGTACAAGGTTACAACAGTGATGGGAACTGTGCTAGTGAAGGCATCACCGGATTGGATGTTGGTGCTGAAGTAGTAAAAAACCCAGAGCTCTCCTGTGAGGCAGAAGCTGTTGAGGGGTTTCTGGCTACAAATGGGGTTGAGAAGATAAACCAGGAGGTCACAGCTCTTTTTGACAGGCAGCTTGTTCTGTGGGTTCTGGCCTTCCCCATGAGTAAGACTCCTGAGAACACCAAAATGTGTAAGGGAGGAGTGATTTTTGAGCACAATGTGAAAAGCTATTTTATCTGCCTTTATATAAAGCTTGGAGAGACATCAAGTTGATAAGGCTTCACCTTGGTCTAATTTTAGACTTAGTATCCTACTTAAGTATAATGTTAGTTTACACATTCTTAGGTCAAATAGGTACATGACAACATCTCTTTTACTTTGTGAGGATAGTCTAAAACAGTTCTGCAGCTGCCTGCCATCATCAGTGTTTTCATTTAAGGAAGTTTGTATTAAAAAAAATCAGCTGTGTTTTGGCTGTGATGAGCAATGGCTAGTTGCTCATTATTAGCAGGTGGCAGTGTATTGTTATCTTAAGTGATCAGAGGGACATATCTCATTACAAAAACATCAAATTGATACTTGTGTTGTAAGTAGTGAAAATGCTATGTGTTTGTTAGATGGTTTGGGGAGAAAAGAAATAGTGCAGGGATTCTGAAATGAAAGCCTCAATGTCTTCTGACATATTTGCAGTGACTTTTTTTTTAAAAAAAATAAATTAAAAAAGTAGAATACATAGATGCTTGTTGCTGATAGTGGTTATTTCAGAGGTGTTTTATGGTAGTAGTATTAAAAAGTTATGGAACTAAAACTGGCAGAGACTAATCAAACTGATGTGTGCTCAGAAAATCCATTAAACAATGTGTTCATTTTTCAGGCATTTTTTGGATGAAAACTTTGTTCTCAGAGTGTTGACTCAATTAACATTGGCCTTGAAGGAGTGTCACAGACGGAGCGATGGTGGAGTCACTGTGCACCGTGACCTGAAACCAGCAAATGTCTTTCTAGATGGCAAACAGAATGTGAAACTTGGAGATTTTGGACTGGCGAGGATATTACACCATGACACCAAATTTGCCACAACATTTGTTGGCACTCCATACTACATGTCTCCTGTAAGACCTCCCTCTTATGATATGTTATCTTCCCCTTCGCCCCTCCAAAGTGTGCTGTGTTGCTCTCAGAGTCCATGGATATTTGGGAGGTTTTAATGAAGCCTTATTGGCCTTAAACACAGGTGACTTTTCTTATAGAGTATGTATGTTCTGGAGACAAGGTTATTTTGCAGTTATTTTCATCTCCTTTCTTCCCCACACAATCAGTTTCCTTTTAATTACAGTTGCTCTTCACTGTATAAGTTTTGTTTTGGGGACATTAGAGTTGTTGGACAATATTGTTTATTGTTTTCGATATTGTATATTGAAAAGGAACAGGGAAGTTAGAGAGCTGTTATGCTTCATACTGTTAAGGTAAGGAGCTTATTAAATTACCTCCTAATGGTAGAATTTTAATTTGTGGTGGAAATGAGCAGGAATGACTTATTCCCTGATACAAGGCACTTCTTGTCAGTCAACATTAAACTTTCCCACACAGAGTTGCATCAATTAAAGATTGGTGGAACACTTCAATCTTCTACAGTGTAGTACTGCCACAAATAGTTAAAATCATTCTAGTAAGAGTAGATACGGATATTAATTAACATGGAATATTAGAACATCAGAAGTTGTTCCAGTATATAATGGCTTATTTCAGGTTTAAATAGCTGATTATCCTGCAATAGTGAAACCATGTCTTTGTTAATAAACCTAAGATTGTTCTATTTCTTTAGGAGCAAATGAACTACATGTCATACAATGAAAAATCTGACATCTGGTCACTGGGATGTCTCGTGTATGAATTATGTGCTCTTTCGTAAGTATGGTGGTGTGATAATGAATGTGGAAACATATAACTGCTAATGTAGGTGTGATTATATTTTTTGTAGATGAAAGCTTAAAGGTTTCAGAGACTAGTCCTAGATTTTTATTTCTCTATTCATCTTGACATTGGGTAGTCAAAACAAACCTTGACTGCAGGGCTTCTTCATAGTCTGATACATTTTTTTTCTGAAAATAAGCCCTGTAAAACTAGTTAAAGAATCCAAGAAAAAATTTCTTCTTCAGGCCTCCATTTACGGCTTACAACCAAAAGGAGCTGGCAGAAAAGATAAAGGAAGGAAGGTTCAGGCGAATACCATATCGCTACTCAGATGAGCTGAATGACCTTCTCAAGGAGATGCTGAATGTAAAGGTAAGAACCAATTACTAATTTTCCAGCTATAATTTGAGCTAGTAGTGAAATACTAGTTTTCCTTCACAATTATGAAACAAACCAATCTGAAGCAGTGGTTGGTATCACCTTGTCACTGGCAGTGTCTCTTGTAGAGGAAGGAGGGAGGAGTTGTGCTTGGAGTCCATCAAACAAAGGCAGCAGCGCAGGTGTCATGCCAGGGTCACAGGATGCCAAAAGGCTGCCTCAATATTAGCTTACATGGGATTTCCTGACTGCATGCTTATTGAGGTCTTAGAATTTCAGCATTAAAATGGTTCCAGTGTGTTTGGAAGCCGGAAGGGGCTATTTTGTCTTCATTTTGGGGTTTGCTTTATATGGCTAATATGGCTTGTTCCCCCATGGCTGGTGTCGGGGTGCTGAGAAGAACACAGCATGGGACAACAGAGCTGCAATAAGCACACAAGCTTCCAGCAGGTATGGATTGTTCAGCAGAGTGTTAGCTGAGGAATCTGCTGACAGCTGCCTCTGCAGGCTCACCCACCCCCTTCTGATCCTGCAAGAAGAGGGTCCCTGTGCTGGGAGACAGACTTGCAGCTCTGGATCTGGAGGCTGGTAATGGCCTCCTCCCTTAGCTTTTATCATCTGGTTGTGCTACTGCTTCCTAACTCCAGTTTTCTCCAATCTCTCCTTCGCTTTGTAGCACCTCAGCTGGTCTTGCTTGGGAACCTCTGGCCTTAATGTTTCTTTTTACAGATGGAACGTATTGGTAATGTCTTTCCTTTAGGATTACTGCCGACCTTCCGTTGAAGATATTCTGCAGCGCCCCTTGATAGAAAATGTGGTGACAGAAGAACTAAAACATAATTTTGATAGAAAAGGCTTGAGACCACGGGAGCCAGAAAGGCCACAGTACTCAGATGTTGCAGTGAATGAGCTGAAACGGAAGGAGCAACAATTACAGGAGCGAGAGCAAGCCATTAAAGAGAGAGAACAACGTCTGGAGGGTATGCTTTTCCATTTTGGGAAAGGGGTAGCAGTGGGATTCTGATTCAGTTGGAAGAAGAAAAACTAGAAAGTTTTCACAACCCTCATTTTAATGCACTAGGATACTGTAGTCCTGCATTCATCACTAGAATTGTGTCTAATGACCAAACCAAGAATGCTCAGGGCTTACTCTGCTATACTAGCTTCTGTTTTAAGTTACTAAGATAGAATTGGCAGTTTGTATATGGAAGTCTGGTTTGTGGAAGATTATTAAACATGAGTGGCAGGGAAGTATACAGAAACATAGGGTCTGCACTGTGCAGTGTAGGTTGCTTTTCACGTACTGTGCAAGTAAAAATTGCCTATACTAACATGTAACCTAAGGTGAGCCTGATGCTGGAGGAAAAAAAAAATAATCTTTGAGTAAACTGTCAACTGCTTTATAAAAGCTGCACCCCCACAGGTTGCTTACCTGAGTCTGTAGATGGCTGGTCCTCAGGTGCTGGCATTTCCTGCCCACATAAAATATCTCTCTGCATGTGCAGTAGTCTCTCTGCAATACAGTTTTTAGCCATATGTATGAACCTGAATAACAGCTGCTACTGTTGTGAGCAGTGTTTAATCATAGCTGAATTATAGTATCTGGTATATAAATATTTAAATCTGTTGTCATGTGTGCCACGAGTTAATGTGCATAATAGAAAGTTGCCATCTATCTGTTATGTTGCAGATGTGTCAGAGTTTGGGACAGAAGTGTGCCTGGCATTTCAGAGTACTTGTCAGTGTTTGATTAGTACATTGATAAAGGTGTATCTACACAGCAGTTACCTTTTGTTTAGAGCCACAGAATCAGAAGTGTGGATGCATCTGACTGGCTATTACTGCTGTCTTTCCCTGTAACAGAAGCCTACCATGCACAGTCACTCTAACATTTACATGTTCACACTGCATACTACCATATTTCTACTTCCAGAGAGAGAACGGGAGCTCTGTGTTCGGGAGAGACTGGCAGAGGACAAACTTTCTAGGTATCGTACTAACCTAGAGTAGTCTATATTAGAAACTCTACAGTCTTACAACAAAAAGCTTAAACTTCTCTTCCCAAACCAGAGCTGAAAGCCTGCTGAAGAGGTACAATCTCCAGAAGGAGCAGCGGGAGGTAACGTGTGCGGAAGGTCCAGGTATGCAAATACACAAGAAGGCACTTGCAAAGGTCCATGTAGGCTGGTGTGAACTGAAGAAAGTCCCTGGTGCTCAGCATGCTCGGCACAGTCCCCTTGGGGCACGGCAAAGCCCAGTTATGGCTGCACGGTTGAGGAAAGACTTTTGATTTTCTGCTTTGCAAAAGGACTTAATGAGTGATGCTCAGCCAAAAATCTGTGTTAGCACTGTTTGCACTGCAGTCTTGTGCTGTCTGGGAGGTTAGGTTCTTGAGCTAAGGGAGGTGCCTCCTTGTAACCCAAACCTTTCTCAGAGCTGCACTGATTTTATGTATGGATGTCTTTTTACAGATCTTTAATTTAATTAATTCTAATAAAATTGCACATTTTTAATAAATTCAGCTTTCATTAAATCCCCAAAAGCTTTAATGTGGGAAATATTATTTGTTGCAAGGAACCCAGCTGTGACTGGTGGGTGCATCATAGAAACTATGAAGAATACACATTGCTATTATAAAGAAAAACTCATATTTGGAAATGTATTAAAATACTTCCTGACTGCCTCTAGTACAGTCTGTTTTACAGTAGTATTTTATACTCACTTTGCCCTTGGTTGTTCAGCCTTTGCTATCATAAGGGTATCATCTGTTAATTGCTCCCATATTTTATTACTAAAAGTAATATTCAAGTGTCTAAATGCCTTTTTAAAAAGTGGTAGGAATAGTGAAGGGATGGGTCAGAAGTCATGCTCTAGAACAAAGCCATGTGAACACTCTTTAACATGCAGTAACACTCTTCATTTAGTTTTGGTCTGATAAAGCAGGATAAGCATGTCCCTGCCTCCCAACCAAATAAAACTGAAGTAGCTTTTTTTTTTTTTTCAAGAACTGCCTATCAAAGCAGGAAAGGACACAAGTAAAATGCCCCTAGAAAGTGAGTGCTCCTTGAGCAGTTTATAACATTTCTGTCAACTTTGAGAATTCCACCCGTCTCTCAACATCTTGTCTGACATCAACACATTAAAGAATTTGAGAACAAACTTGCTTTTGGCTTTCTGATGTTGCATCTAAAATTGGATGACTGAAGGCAAATGAGCTTCAGCTCTGACTTCTGTTCTCTTCTGCATTTCCCATCCATTTGCATGATATTTTGACCCTACCATATTAGTTTTTGAGGATAGGTAAAACCAGTTGGGGTGGTTAATACCTCAAGCTCGATAATGCAAAATGAACATAGTTATTACGAACCTGACCAAACATCGCAATATCTGTCGAGCATGTGATTTGCTGCTCTTCCATTTCATTCTATGGTTCTCTTGTAACACTGTGTCTAAAATTATGCCTATTCTCATACAAATGGACTGTTTCTCCAATAGTGGTACCAAGATTGCTTGCTTGCATTTTCAGTTGCTCAAATATTACTGGACTGCATCTCACATATCTCTTAGATCCCTAACTTCTAGGAGAAGTCCATTGAGTGGTTCACTTTGACAGTAAAATGGAATACAAAAAATCCTGGTTTTTAAGACAGTGTCCTAGACATGACCCTATTTTTGCAGGGATTTTTCTTAGTGAACCATTTAATGGTAAAACAGATCTGACTTACAGTAATGAAGCTAAACAGTGCTGAAATATTTGCTGGCTTTTTAAATTCCTTCTTGCTCTTTTATGCTTACTGCGTTCTTGCTGTAGCCTCATAAATTGACAATTAAGGCTTCAGTGTTAAGATTAGAATAGTTAGACCTTTGATTAAATAAAAATCACACCTTAAGTTTGGCCTTGTGAAGTTGGCTCTTATGTGAGGCAACTTAGGTGTTACAAAAGCTTTTGATGGCAGTTGTTCTACTCTTGAGTCAGTAACTGCCTTTTGCTAGTGGCACGCTATAGGACACACTACGAAAATTCCTGTTCTAGAGGCCGCAGTGAAAGTAGCTTATTAATTTTTAATACATCTAAACTCATTACTCATCAAGTCAGAGCCTAATTTTGTACCCCAGTGACTTATTATAAGGATAGAGTTGGAACAATGTGGGTAAAGCACAAAGACCACTGGAAAGGATGCAAAGACAAGGTTTTTTCAAAAAAATTAAGCTGAGGAGCTGAAAATTCATCCTGCATTTTCTTTTGAAATTGGCTTATGTTGCTTTTTTTTAATTCCTGTCCTTCAGAAGAAACATCATGTCTTTTCTTCTGAATCAACTAATTTTTCCTTAGGTATTGGGAGGTGCACTCTAAAAACTACTCTGACATATATCCTTTAGCCACCATAATTTAAAAGGCTTGTTTTCAATTTTTTTTCCCCTCAAAAAATAGAAAAGAATTGTTGCTAATAACTGAGATGCATTTAATTAGATCACTTAAAGCCATAGGTAGATGACAAAATGGGCACCAGGGTTAAAGGCAATAAATGCTGCAAGATGCACTAATGCAGTACTTTTTGATTTCTTAAGATAACGCACTCCTGCTTCCCCTTTCTACAACCAAGAAGAACTCACTCCTTGATGGAAGTGAAGAGAAAGCTGTGTCTCCTCATAATATGGAAAACTATTTCCTTTCCAAAGGGAAAAGCTCTGATCTCAAAAGTCGTCTATATGCTGCAAATCTACGAGCTCAAGCACTGGCTGAACTGGAAAAAAACTATCAACTAAAGAGCAGACAAATCTTGGGCATGCGTTGAAACTGTAACAGATATATTTATCTTTGAAAAGAAGATTAAATGTATAGGCAGATACTTGTGCCTCCCTCTCTTAAGCTAGAACCTACTGAAAAATTATTTTTACAGTTGTACAAACTCTTAGTTTATGTTAGGTAGTTTATGATAAATGCATAAGATGCTCTATGATGAAAATAGGTACTTTTGATACCAAATAAAACAAACTGAATTAATTGTATTCTTAAAGAAAAATATTTTGGTCCTCCTGTTTACCATACATTTCTGAAAATATAAAGAATGAATATATATAAATTATTTGTTTAAAATCTGATGTGGAAAACTTTTCAGGTGAAAAATGTACAGAGATTCATTTTTCTATAGGTTAAAATGATGCTGTATGTAATGCACAGTTGTTGATAAAGGAAGTGATATTCTGTATATGTGGGAAAATAGTGCCTTCTTTTCTGCAATTGTAAATATTTTATAACAAAAAAGCACAAAGATTTTATGCATCTCTTCCTACTAAGTAAGTGACTTACCAAAGCAGGTTACTTTTAATGTTATATTTTGACTAATGAGTGGGATGGGTCAAAATAATGTAATTTCTGGGTTTATATTCCTTTCCTGCCTGAGCAGCTGAATGCTTTGTCCAGCTTCCTACAAGACCTGCATCAGGGTATGGCATTTGAAATAACAACTTCTTTGCCTTGCCTTGAAACTGTATTATAAACTGATCCCCTGAGACTGCTGTCTAGGATGGGACACTATCCAGCATATTAGCATCTGTGTTTTGGGGTGGGGCAGTTGTCCTTTAAATAGTAAAACCTTATTTTCTTGAAGCTTTGGTGGTATCTCCATCTTACCCTTAACAATTCCCTGCTGGTGTAGGAGTTGCTCACTTAAGGTGGTGTAAGTTTCATAAACTCAGACTCAATGAATTTTAAAATATCCTTTGAAATTGTCTGGCATATGTTTTATATGGAGATTTTTTTTTCTTTCTGGATTGAAATGTCATAAAACATACATTCTTAGAAAACAGCTTGTTTTCAAAACATCTCTTTCCTTACTGGGCTATGAATGTTATCTGAGGAGGTATTCTAGATGGTTTTTAGTTCATAAAAGAATCTTCATTGAAACATCAATTTAATTTGACGTAGTAGATATCTTAAGGGTCTCTTCCAACTTCAGTCATTCTGATTTGCAGGAAAGAAGTACTTGTGTAACCCAAAAACAGATCTGCTCTAGCAGATTCTTAACAACCAGCAGAACTTAACATTTGCTTGCAGAGTGGTTGCTGTTTTCACCACAACCTTTGCTGAAAAGAATTAGACATGACTCTTCTGTTTGCTGATCTAAAACTAACAACGTTTTGGTGGTCATTCCCCAGCACTAGGTTTGGTGGGAATGTGCCATTTGGATCAGTGCAGATTTCCTCTGCATTCCATCATATTTCTGAAGCTTCTCACACGTATGTGAAGGGTAAATCCCTGCTTTGTCACCATGTTTGCACACTCAGGTTTTTCTATTCCATGCCTCAATCACCGCATTGCACCGCTATGCAGTTCTGGCCTTCATGGATCTTTATGGCTTAACCCATAAAACATTAAAGGGTGAGATGCACAGTGGTGTTAGTACAATCGGAAAAAATACAAAAGATTCAAGAATGTTTTGCCTGTAAAACTCAGGTGTCAGTGAAAGGAGGAAAACAAGTAGCCAAGAAAATAATACTGATTCATGAAATTCCATATTCATAGCATCACAAAATGGTTTGGGTTAGAAGGGACCTTACAGTTCATCTGCTTCCAACCTCACTGCCATGGACAGGGACACTTCTCTAGATCAGGTTTCTCAGAGCTCACCGCCTGAACACTGCCAGGGACCACCCAGGAAACATCCATAAATTCTCTGGGCAACCTGTTCCAGTGCCTCACCATCCTCACAGCAAAGAATTTCTACCTAGAATCTAATCTAAACCTACTGCCTTTCAGTTAAAAGCCATTCCCCCTTGTCTTGTAACAGCGTGCTCTTGTAAACAAGCTGCCATCTTCTAGGCTTCATCCAGGTACTGGAAGGCCACAGTTAGGTCACCCCAAAGCCTTCTCTTCTCCAGGCTGAACAATCCCAATTCTCTTAACCTTTCCTCATAGGGGAGCTGCTTCATCCATCCAATCATGTGAAAGGGCTGGTGTTTACAAATGCTTTGCTTTTAACACGACCAAGGTAAGAAAATGGCTTGAGAGTATTATTTCTTCTCTTGGAACACACATTTCTGCATTTAAAAGTAAAATGCCTTGAGAGCACTGTCTGTGGCTTTCCTCTTTAATTCTCTAGTAACCTCAAGATGGCACTGTTGCCTTGTCATTTATAAGCACTGCCTCTATTATACATTCATCCAGAACCTAATATCTTATTTACATTTCTTTTTACCTGTTTTGTTCTAAGCACGTTGCTGCAAGATGCTGACTTTCTTTGGCTACGGATGCTTTAGTACTTGCTGGTGCAATTAATTATAATTATCTCCGATTTTCCATTTTGCATCTTTATGCATGCATTATAAAAATAGCTGAATCAAGGTCCTGGTTAACAACTATGCTGTTATGAATCCGAAATGCTAGAGAGTGTGCAAACTGTATCAATCACAATGGCAGTAATAAATGAGAACAGCTTAGGTTACAACTGTAGCGTTAAGCTGCTTAACTGCATTTCTTACAGTGTCTTCTTGAAGTATTATCACTCTAATATGATAAATGTAGTATTTCTTGAGGTTTTTGAAATAAGAACTTCCTACCAAGATGTGCCAAACATAGTAAAAGGCATCCTGGAGATGGTATTCATTCTCTCAGGATTTTTGCTTTGAAATACTGAAATTCACATTTTCCTACAAGGGCGTAATTGTTTTTCTAATAGAACGTGTGTAGCATTGGAATCACACTCAGGATGCACTTTTCAAACATATTCAGGGAATAGAACATTCACAAACAGAACATTTATGGGAATGGTGACTGCTTATGGAGTACTTCCAAAACATTGCCGTCGTGCTGATGGATATACTAATGTCTTAGAAGGGAAGGGAAAAGTGCATATGGACATGGTACAGCTTAAGCCTTATAGGATTATAATAATGGTGTACACTGTGAAATGTTGTGAGAGAAATTAATTAATGTTTAATACAGATGTCAGGAATTTTAATAATATGATTAGTTGTGAGCACCTCTGGAATTGCAGAAGTTTTATGTGCGTAAGAACATCAAGGACAACCTGCAGAGAAAGTTGTATTTTCTTCGAAAAATATGGACCAGTCTCCTGATTTTCAGCTGTCATGCCCTGTAACCTCTGCAGCCAGCTGAACAGCACTTAAAACAGTGTGAAGGGGCTGGCTGGCTGGGCAGATAAAAAAAATGAAAATCAGACATAAATATAGAGGGCCATCAAACTTCTTCATAAAAGTGGAAGATGCCACTTCTGAGTCTCCTCCTCTTTGGGTCTGTGTGTGGCCCCTGCACCCCAGAAGGGTCTTCTCCACAGTGGTAAATCTGTATTTCTCCAGCTGTGGCAGACCTTTGGCTGTTGCTCATCACCCATTCCACCAAAGGGATGTGGAAAATATGTGGGGGGACCACAATGCCATCAGTGGAGCTGATGCTGTGCTGGAGATCCAGTAACCCCCTGCACAGGGTGTTAGTAGAATCTAGGTGTAATAGCATATAAAACTTCTCAAAAACAATCTGACAGCCAGAACCCACTGTTCTCTGTCATCTTCTCCACCTCTACAAGAGTTGTAAAACATCAGTAGCAGCATTTCCAGATTTTCATTCAGCTTTAGTGGTTATTGCTTAGGGTTGATGGTTTAGCCTTCAGAGTTTGCCATAGATTGCCAGGGGTTTAGGGCTTACAGGGTATCCCTGTGGTCCAGGGCCTTTGGTTTATTGATCCCTGTGCTGTCACGCCTCCTGCTTTTTTCATTTAAGATTCATAGCCTATATTTAGTGTTTCGTGGTTTGCTAGAGTAAATTGTAAACTCCTTAGAGATACAATTCTCAAATTCTACCCCTGAAGTAAGATCTGTAATCTTTCTTCACTGCACAGGGCTCTCTCTGTGGTCTGTGTTGATTGATACTGGGACTCCCCTTAGTTCAGCTAATGAAGTCCACAGAATGGGTCAGACACGAGTGAGGGAAGGGGTGGATGGATCAGGAGGTGTCAGGTGTAAACCCAGGGGAGACATTTCTCTTCATGAGGAGCTCCTGGGGATAGAAAAGAGATGCAAGAGACTTCCCTGTCTCCCACAATCCCCTTCTTCCTTCAGTATCCATTTTCCAATCAATAAACATTATAGTTTCCTTGATCACTTTCCTGCCAGGGGGAACAAAGCGCTCCAAAATAAACCTTGCTGGAGTCCAGCTTTGCCTGGCCGTTTTGCAGGGGCCTACAGGTGGAAGATGAACAATTTGGACAGAGGTTGAGCTGAAATGCATTTTGCCACTTCTGATTTCCTCCTAGCTTTCACAGGGGGTGAGATCTCTGCCCCTGCAGCCCACTTGCTTTTCACATTCACGTGTGTGCCTGGGTGGCAGTTCAGGGTCACTGAGGTGGCTGCTGCAGTTTGAAACAGAGGCTGTTGATTCGTTCTTTGGGTTGCCTAACCCCTTCCTAACTGCAATAAAGCTAGTGAGCAAGGACACAAAAAAAAATGCCTTGGAGGAAGTGGGATCAAAAGCATAAAGTTTATTTTTGACTGTGAATAAAGTGTTCATCCTCATAAAAAGTGTTTTCTCCTAACCCCCTTCCTTCAAACTCACAGGCTGAGTGATGTTTTGAGGTGCTGGCACTCCAGGGAGAGAAGACAGAAACTGCTGGTCAGTGGAAGAAAACAAACTGTGCACTCTCTCGCAGTGTCCCCAGTGCCCCCAGTGCAGAGGCCACACTGGGGCTTCTCAGAGCTGCACCCAAGCGTCCTAATCAATTCTACACTTTGGAGAAGAGCAGGATGGAGGGTATGTGCCACTTTCTCCAGAGATGCAAGAATGGGATGCTCGTGTGTCACCCTGCACCCTTCCAGCGCTGTTATTTGCTCTGTGCCATGAAGCCAAGTACCTACCTACCCCAAGAGTCCTGTGGTGTGAAGAACAGCCAGCCCTGGATGATGTCCTCGTTGTTGTTGGCAGGAAGGTCCCCACAGATCACGTTGTCCAGCAGGAT